ATAAGCATAAGGAAATTGATTGGTCTATATATAAGCATAAGCAAATGCATAAGGAAATGGACCAATCAATTTCCTTATGCTTATGCGTTATGCTTTATGCAAAAGTCTGTGCTCCGGCCAATATAGTTCAATGCATAACACACGCATTGTCGCCATTTTGTTGTAGGGTGTCATGGCCAAAACCGAAAATCCTGCCGGTCTCAGCTCTTTTGACGAAGTTAGCGACCTAGTACTAGTATAAACATCTGTAAACGAAGTATACAAGTTTTTGTTGAGCGTGCGGTTAAAAGAACATTGGCTTAGTTTACACCGATTGTTTAGTACGCGTATCAAGTACTAAATCAGCTTCTTTGATTGGTGTAGATTTTACACTAAACAATTTATACCTATTGGAGAAGCAGATTTAGTATTTGGTACGCGTACTAAACAATCGGTGTAAACTAGGCCATTGTACCAACTTTATCTATACGTTTATTAAAATATATCTCTCAGTAATAAAACCTCCTCTGGAATCGTTAATTCGATTAAACCTCCACGCTTGGATTAAGAAGGGCAACAGTATGTATAGCCATGTGCCAATAGATTGCATTTCGATTTTATTAAATTTTATTAAATTTTTAAACCAGTATTGAAAACAGGACTTATCACATCTTCCCTAGGTAGCACATGCTCGTTTCATATACATTTTTTATATGTATCTAATATTTTTTAACCGTCAAAAAAAACACATAGTTGCTTTCAAGAAAAAGTATGCAGTTGCACGTTGCAAACTACATATTTTTTCTTGAAAGCAACTGTGTTTTCTTTATACCAATTGATTCGTCTCATTATTTTATGCATAAAAGTATTAAGGTAAAATTCCCAAAAATTGAATGTTTTACAAGATATTTTGTATTTTTTGTCAAAATACTGTAATTTACAAGCCTCATAACTCGAAAAGTACTTAATAAAAATAACTTCATTATAGTGTTTTGAAAAGCTCTTGACACCAGCTATTAGATTTTGGAATCAAAAATAGGGGTTTCTATTTAAAAAACCTAACCTAACCTTGAAATGACCTTGAAGGTCAAGCTCAAGGTCAAATTGAAGGTCACCGTTAAATTCCTCGTTGAAAATTACTTCAGAAATGACCTTGACCTTTTTCAAAAATACCTTACATGAGAAAATAATTCAGCCGTCCCGGGACTAAATTGACACCCCTGTATATATAGCACAAAAATTAATATAAAATATATAAATAAAATTTGTAGTAGTGGTGTTCTACTAGCCAACATCTCTCAAACATAACCTTATTTATGATATATATAGAAAAGATGACCTGCATATGATATAA